GTGTTCAGCTTTGAAGATTGTGTGGTTATGGTCCAATGCCACTACAGATTGACATGTTGTCCAACGCACGAAGAACCAAGTCCATTATGTACTGCCTTATCCACCAGATGCTATGTCGAACACACAATTACCTCCACGAATTAGATCTTTAGAATGTGCATACAGCATGTGGTCATTGAAACGTTCACAACATACACCATACCCTTGTCGTAGCACCGGATGTATTCTCCTGCTCTAGATTTGTGTCTCATTTTCCTAAAGTGTTTACAATTCAAAGCTACGATTTTAGCTGTGAAATCACTAAAAGAGTTCGGAATGATATTTGAACCTTGAATTAATGGTACATTTAGCTATGTTTCTTACCTCAAGCATTGTAAAACGTTGGAGATCATTTATAGCATCATATGGACGCAAAAGTCGGTCAGTATCCGTTCTATTTCAAATTTTACAGAACGTCAGTAGAAGGGAACCACTTCTTCTGAGACATTCTTTTAAATGATTATGGGCACTTTCGACACAACTTCTTGTGTGATTATCCAGACTGGGTACAAGCCACCGGTAACAGCGAGCCCACATTGACTTTCGAGCAAATCCCAACATAATGCGTTATGAAAAGAAAAGCTCACATGTCAGAACGCCTGGTTTTTACGAGTTGTTCCATCAGGATTTATAAACTACAGCAAATAATTTGCACAATTGACATTTGCCTCCCTGAAAAATACTCTTAAAATAAGGAACGAACACAGTATTATGTCGGCATAACTGCGCATAGACTATACCGCGGAAATTTCGGTCACTGACGAACATGTAGAACTATGGTCTACTATGATATTAGTACTGCTCTAGTAATAGACCTAATCCTAAATTTGTAGATTTGTCATGATATAACTGCCTAATCTATAAGATCTTACGTGGAAGTCACACCATCGACTACACCAACTCACTGTATCGTATCAATTACCAATACATGATGTAGAACAAGGTTAGGTTAGAGAAGGAACAATATATTTAATATGAATAGAAGATATGACGTAACATTCAGATGGACCACGCCTGCATGGCCGAGCCATGCCACTCGATCAACTCCAGCCCATTCAATTCATTGTTCGCGCCTTCTCCATTCTTAGGTATTTCTCCGTGTTAAATATTGAATATCTATTTTCTGAGTAGTGTTGTGTTCAGCTTTGAAGATTGTGTGGTTATGGTCCAATACCTCTACAAACCCATTACGAAAGTACGGTTATCATAAATACCACACATTATGTCTTTGAATCATAACAGTTGTCCTATGACATCTACGCGTCGTTCTTGACTGCAGAGAGCATATATAACAGTGTGCTCTTGCTCAAGGCTGTATGAAGCCACTAGCTGGAACAGTGGAAAACTAAAATAAAATTATTACTATTCGTTACTTACCCAACTTTGTTGGTCCGATAGGTCGATTCAATATATACTCCCTCTGAGAACTCGTTGTAAATTGCTGTTTGCTTCATACTACTGAAGTAAATCGTAGATATGCTCCCATGCTTATTGAATACCTTTACGTCATTGTTTGCTTAAACGCATCGTAAAATGTCGTTGATATTTTTAGTGTCCAGACAAAATAGTTAGAATATGAGTTTAACAACCTTGGTACAACCATGATCGCATTTTGGCGATATCGTCCTTGGTAAGCTGTTTATGGAACTTCCAAGAAACAAGATTCTGTAAGCTACGAGTTGGCGCATTAATCAATAGAAACGGTCTTAAATATAATCGTTCAGTTAACATCAACTGTCGTCTCGATGGATCGACAGAAATATATCCTTCTGTGCAAGGATGATTGTGCACTGTTTTAACAGAGGCGACTGTTAGCTCACCGTTTACAGCACGGACCCAAAATCCAGATTGACAGTGGCAATATTTCGACTTGAAGGATAGATTTTTTCGAAATAATGCGTACGCAGATGACTGATGTCGTTTTCTTTGTCTAGGTTGTGGTGATAAGTTAGAAGTTGTATGCTCTTTGGAAGAATAATGATCACTGTCATCATCTCCATCCTAAAGACATGCATCAGATTCTGACGAACTGCGTTTACGTCCATATGTACGGACATGTCTGAGGAAAAAATACTTTAGATTTGGATCAACATTGTTCTTTTTAAATACTGACATAACGTACTTGGTATGCGTATACTGTAAAAATACCTATCAACCACGGAAGTCATATTACCTTACATACTTCCAAACAGGTCTCGAAATTGTCCCGACTTGTAACTCGTCTTGAAAATACAATATCATTGAAGATTCGTCCTATGTCATGCATCATCACGATGACATCGTCTTCGTTACTTGAAGGATGGACTTTTTAAGACATAGTGTGGTTGAACTTGATTTAAATCTCAAAATATCTCGATCTGAACACATCTGCGAAACTTCGCGAATTGTCGAGGTGGCGAACCGATCATATTACGGCATGTGCTAAGCAACCTTCATCACTGGACGATACTCCTGAAGCGTTGCCATTGAAGATTAGTATTCACAAGGTGATTCCATGAATAAGAAAAAATGATGTCAAAAACCCACAAATACTTTTATATACCGAAAAAATGAATATATCAATACCGGTCTCAGGATTGATTGTAGTTTAACTGATATAAATAGAACGTGGATCTGTAGCGGTAAATAAATACACAAAACCAACACCTCTGTAAGTCTTCGATATTCCGTGCTGATCGCACTAGCGTTAATGAACCCACCTAGCTGAAGGCGCTCGGTCACACATCCGCACCAGATCACGAGTACGCTGTGCTTCACACCTATTACCGCTAGTCACTTCTCGATACATCGATATTCTATCAAATATATCTTCGAACCTCTTAGCTTATAAACTCACTCGGTTGGCACGTTTCCACTATATGTGTTACTGGTTAAGGTGTTGTTAAACTCCAAATACTTGTAGCGTCTTGGGTGGTGAACCCGACGTGATCTGGTACACCTATTCGCAAACTGCGAGTCTCCTCCTTATGAGAACTTTATATATCATATTTTTAATTTAATATTTACACATTATGATATTTTTTCTCATATTTGTGGATGTTTTTTCTCTCGTTCATTCCTATACCTTTTATTCCTCATCATTGAACAGACACTTGCGGTACTTACGATCACGTGAACGGTTCTTCGCATTAGTGAAGGCGATACCGCGCGATTTCAGCTGGTACGTCACACCTAGTGTTACACTAGTGATGTCTCTGAAACTTGCGAAACTCTGGAAAGGTCTATTCTTAAGTGCGGAGGTTTAAACGATCGACATAGGTTAGATCAACACTTCAGTAACATCGATCTACAACACGGCTCAGCAAGAGACGTGTTGCTATGAGTGAGAGAAGTTATTGGTCAACGGACCTTTGACGAGGGTCTGCTTAGACAATTTTTCTTGCCTAAGCTCCCCCAACAGGTGCAGGCAGTGCTTGTATCAATTAAAAACAACGCTGCAAGCGAGCTGGGTGTGTCTGCTGACTGAATTCCGGAGATCACTAGTATTTCAGACGCCGAGGTCTATTCAGCCAAAGAAAAAACTCAGACGACACGAAATGACACTACGGAACTCTGTCATACTTTGTAACGTTACCTTAGTATTTTTCATGACTGTAGACGATCCTAAACTCCTTGAAAGAGTACTTCATGAAAACGATCTCTCTCTAGATCACAAGAAACAGATCGTAGCGTAGGATAACCAGGTTTCGATGTCGTCAGGCCAGAATGGCATTAGCTGGAATGAGGGTAGTGTAAGAGTCTTGATCGTAAGTACCACAAGTGTCTGTTCAATGATGAGGAATAAAAGATATAGGAATGAACGAGAGAAAAAACATCCACAAATATGAGAAAAAATATCATAATGTGTAAATATTAAATTAAAAATATGATATATAAAGTTCTCATAAGGAGGAGACTCGCAGTTTGCGAATAGGTGTACCAGATCACGTCGGGTTCACCACCCAAGACGCTACAAGTATTTGGAGTTTAACAACACCTTAACCAGTAACACATATAGTGGAAACGTGCCAACCGAGTGAGTTTATAAGCTAAGAGGTTCGAAGATATATTTGATAGAATATCGATGTATCGAGAAGTGACTAGCGGTAATAGGTGTGAAGCACAGCGTACTCGTGATCTGGTGCGGATGTGTGACCGAGCGCCTTCAGCTAGGTGGGTTCATTAACGCTAGTGCGATCAGCACGGAATATCGAAGACTTACAGAGGTGTTGGTTTTGTGTATTTATTGATCGCTATATCTCTGTTATTACCAGATTTTCGAATGATCGTTCTTCAAAAACGCTAACACCAATATTTTGAAGAATAATTCACTGCTAAATTAAACATGAACTGATGATCTTCAATCAACTTAGAATATTGGGTTCTGTGATTCTGGGAGTACAATTGTCTTTTCTGGTGTTATCTGTAGTCTGTAGTGGCGAAGCTGTGATTTTCCGAAGGCCTCTTGGACTTCCTTTGTACTGGAGTATAGTCTTGGGGATGCACCTCACAAGAATAATAATTTGTCAACTAAAATTCATATTCCATAGTAAATGGCCGTACACATACGTGCTCTGTGACTTTTGTGAATAACTTATATATGCTTATATATTTACGATTTATGGAGAGGATTTGAAATTATGGATATTTCGATTTCAATTCTTGTGAGCGGTACCAAGACAGTGTTGTACCACGCCTATATAATGGCCGTCTTTCACTTTACGAAGATTACCAGTCTTTTGGTGTAGGTTAGCAGCCGCCCAAATCTTGGGACTCGAGGTCTAAATTCGATATCATCATTACATGATAATCTTAGTCTTTTCAAATCGTTGATTATAGCTTTAATCGTAATCCTGTTTTAAATTTTTTAGATATCTGACAGTAAATGGGCGTCCTGTTTATCTGACTGGGTCCAAGATACTCATCTGCTTTATGGTCTTTGATATTCTTCTCAACGTTTCAAGTTTTCCTTTCCCTAACTGATGGAGGATGACTTACAACGTAAGGTCATCAAACAACGTTTAAAGCAGTTTTATGGGAGTAATACAAACAACTCACTGGTTGATCAGAATGATCCTTTAAATATTGACAGTCCATCCTTCGATCCACAATTGTACTTGGATAAAAGTCTTAAGACTAAAGACCTTTCTGATCTAATATCAGAAGAAAAGGCCCTAACCGATCAGATTCGCAGTCTGGATTCCGACATGCAAACACTAGTATATGACAACTACAGCAAATTCATTAGTGCAACCGACACCATTAGAATGGTATGTCTTATTTTTCCTAGGAAACAAATAATTTTAGATGAAATCTAATTTCAGTTACGTCCAGGCCGAAATGAATTCATTACTTCAAAATATTGCCTCCATTGTTTCAGTTTCTGGTACGATTAATGGAAATTTAGCTGATAAGAGAAAGAAACTGGGCACACTGACAACTACCCAGTTGACTCTAAACAAAGTAAGATCAAAATTTTGAGTAGAACTAACTAAAGTAATGTTTCTAGCTAAACTACTTAGTTGAACTCCCAGTCAGCTTAAGGAAATATATGAACAAATGTGATTGGGATCATATTGTACTTGACCTTAATAAAGCGAAATACATTTTAAAGAGTTATCACAATACTCCATCTTTTAAGAATATTCGTGAGGACTGCGCTGAGATAGTATCGGAAATTTGTTCGAAACTATGGCGTCAATTTGATGAGTCTGTAAGTCGTTGATTCTGTAACTATTTTCCAGAGCGATATGGCTGAGTGTTCTAATCGTTTAAAAATTCTGCAGCAGCTTGGTTTCTCGAGACGAAAATTGTCAAGAGCGATATTACGTTTGTGGGTAACAACAATTTAATTTTACTTGTTAGATTTTGCCTATCATGCTATATTATACAATTGAGTATTCACGCAAATTTTTGTTTGACAGGCTTTGTTAACATTTAGGGACTAAAGGTATCCATGGCTCTATAAGATAAAATGACGCAGAAACTCTGAGCTAACAAACACTCATGTTCAAACTGATTACTGGCATTAAGATATCTGGTACAGTAATTTCTTCCAGATGTGTGCCGTAGGGAGAGACTTTTAAGTAGATGCTATTCGCATTAATTCAGTGCGTTATAAGACGTAGTTAAGTTTATCCCACCGTCTTATGATGTTGTACGTTTGTCAAAATTATCGTAAGACTTTCGGTTTCGTTTGACTAACTGGCCTTCAATTTTATGAGGCCTGTTTTTCTCACGAAGGTTGTATTTACTATCGGTTTGACACTAATGGACAACTTATTCTTTCTTTTCAGGGCTAAACGTCAAGTATCTCAACGTTTAGCTTATATTAAGACTTTGGTGTGTGAAGGAGACAAGCGAAGTGTTCAGAGAGAAGAAACCGTTGGTTCTGCTGAAAACATTGCGAATCCATTTGTCCAAGAGTCTTCTTCTGAAGAAATGGTAGGGTATTATGTATTTATTAGCCAGTTATTTTTGATGAGCGTGAATTACATTTTAGGGCATATGTCACTCCTGGGGTAATATATATGAAGCAGTTGACAGAAAAGATCGAAGCTATGTTGAGCAGCCACGTATTTGGTGATGCACTTGTTTTTGTTAATTAGTATGTAAAGCCGACGTGAGTATGGGTTGATTGTTGTTTCTTTATATCTGCTCATAACTGAGATAGGGAATATTTCCAATATGAGCAATCGACGTTTAGGATGAAGTATTACTTTCATCTTCACTGCTTCAGTGTTGATTATACTTAAAACTCCCCGTCTAATTCAAAGAAATGGTCAAGTTTCATGATTTTCATGCATCTTTAAATCATGAGCCCATATGTGAACCCATGCATTAGGTTCCTTTCAACAAATTAAGTAAAGTGAAATATAAAGAATTCATTTTATTTTAGAGCTTTACTCACCTTTACACAAGCTGGTAATAGTTCATTCGGAATTTCAACAAAGATTAATATAGTTGAAAATTAGGAAGTGGATTGTCTATCAGTAGCTTGTAATAGTTTAAATCATAGTGGCTGACGATTGTTGATATCCTTTTAATGATTATAAAGAGTTCGTCAACGTTTCCCAGTATCCGTAATCTGCCATATAAGCTTGATACTCGAATTCCTACCAAAGGACTGGAATCTTATCCAATTTATTATATATTCTACCTTTAGAAAAAAGGTGGCGGGAATAGGAACTGGTACGTTAGACCATCGTATTATGCGAGAAGTTAGCGGATGAGGTTATAGAAAACCTGATGTCGATTGTAAATGGTTGATTGACGTTCCGCATAGCTCTTTCAATTTCTCCCATTTTCGTTTCGCTGATAGACTAAATGGTTATAAGTTGAGCTATAAATTGTATTACATTATATAAAATAGCTTGACTACTTTATTTAAAGGAAGATTGGTTAATATTTGTTACCTCATCTTAACAGTTAACGTAATTTACCTAAAACTTTTTCTTTACCCAGGACGTGTTATACTTCGCCAATCTCATAACGGATTCTGTCCTCATTAAGCTTTCTGAATTTATTGGACTACTGGCGGATTTTTATTTCACAAGGTCAGATGAAAGTGAATCTATGGATACTATTTTGTAAGTATGGCTTTCCAATCATAGATGTGATAGTTAAATGACTTCAATCGTTAGTATTATTAAGTTTATGAGCAAAAACAAGGGATTAAATAATGATTGTGTTGCCCGTATTACTTTCATTACATGCCGGAACCAATCGTATCTCTTATTGGTCGTAAGATACTATCAGTTCGTGTTGAAATTTCTAGTTACTTGATTATATTTACACTAGATTAAGCGAAGAAACTGTCTTTTATTCCTTCCATAGGGATGTCATTTCTGGTAAAACAGAAAATAGTGCCTCAGAAATCGATGATGGTTCTTTTGAGGAAAATTTGTCAAGTTTGGTTGAAGAACTGATGCATGAATTTTTTATTTTGGTTCGAACTCGTTTTGAATCGGAGGTCAGTTTCTCAAGTATAAGTAATAAATGTTATTTTTCAGTATTCATGTTCGAAACATAAAGCCTTTCAGAAATTTTATGAACTTTGATTTATGTACAATAGCTCTTAGCGTTCCATATTTCCAATTATTTTATTTCTCAAACATGCGAGTATTTGATTAATTTATCTTGAACTATCCATGTAAACTTATCAACACGCTCATCTGTTAAATGGTAACATTATTGAAACTGACTGAATGATGGTTGTGTTATGTTTAACCTTACTAAGCGAACGTGACAGACACAAGGTCTTGTATACTTTGTTAGAATTTTGTACCTGGATTTCAGATATGTCGAGTGGATCAATGGGGAGAATTTCCGTTGTTGTGAGCAGATCTGCTTAATTTCCCAACCTTCCTCAAGATGTGGAAGCGAAGGTGGCAATTTCGAATACCATGATTTGTTTCCGAATAGCTACATCAGAAGACACATCTGGGAACAATCTTTCTGGCAACAAACACACCTAGGATTAGTTTAGCAGAATGAAATCCGTAATAAAGATGAGCTGCTGAGTAAAATAATGATTAAAGTGAAATTGAGTACAAAGCTAATGGAAATAAAATGTTGCAAGTAAATAGGATGATATGTAATAGATTTGTTTATCAGGAAATAATTATGGATTGTGAGCGTTTGTCTGTAAGACTTGTAATTCACATTATTTGTAATTGTCATGGTTGGTCTTCAGGCTACTAGACTGCCCAGTTATCCAGATAGGAGAAGTTGGTTTTCTGAAGTAACCACCTAAGGGGTTAATTTATAGGACAATATAGCATATGAATCTCTAGTTTGGGGTCAAATCTCAAATTTTATTGGTGATCTCCCCACCACTCAATTATATCATCCATATTCTCTCACTTTTAAGGAACAATGCCGCATTAAGGATCGAGTAGAACCTCCTTATAAGAGGCTGTGAATGTGCACTTTGAGAGAAACGGTGGGATTATCAGGACATTTGAAGACCACATTTATTCCCATTCATCACAAAGCTTTTTGTATTGACTGATATCTAGTATCATTTCAATCGAATATCCTCAGTGCTTACAAATTGTCACATCTTATTGCTGTAACTATTAATTTACAATCGCCTTTTTAAATTTCTGTTTATGCTTCAATTTCTAGAGCACAAATAATGATGTCAATTTATTGATACGAGCTTTGGATCGTATTCACTGTCGAGTACAGACCTTTAATCGGTCACTGTTAACATCAGTTACTTCTGTAGATTTTGAAGGTGTGCTATTGGATGATTTAAGTCCTGAATCGTTATCTATAGTGAATCGATTCTCTTTACTTACTAATCAGTTTTCAAACTCGGCTCTGGAAATAATTAATCAAGTTGCTCGAATGCAAACTACTTATTACTTTGATATATTATGCCAAAATGCAGTTGAATCATTTACGGATCTCCGACATAAACTGGCTAGTCATGGACTACAAACATCCAATTCAACTAATGAAGAAGTCAACAAAGTGTAAGCCAAGTTATTGATTTGTATTTAACGGGATTTCTTTTAAAAAGAATTATTTCAACCTTATAATATGTTCAGAATGATTGTTTCGATGAATCCTATCGACAATGAATATCAATCTCACGATTTATTGTGCCCCAATCGTTAATCAAAGCTCAGTCAGTGGTATCTGTTTCTGGAGTATCTTCATATGTCTAAAGGATCTGGTTACAACCTTTTGCCATAAAGTAGGTCATACATTCCAAGGTAACCAAGTAGTCTTAAGCGTGCGGTAAGGAATACCAGCGTGATGTACTTTGATTGCAATCACTGGTTAGACGTCGATTGATATTTTCTACGGAGATACTTGCTATTTGAGATGCCTAAGGTTATTGGTTGTTCATGGAAGTTCTGCTACTAATCGAGTCAGGGCTTATGGCGAACTGTCATCTACTTTTGCAACTTCAAGTGGTGTCCGTCAAGGCTGTCCACTTTCTCCATTTTTGTTTAACTTCATCATAGACCTATTGATGGAAATAACACTCTCGTCGACTGAATTCTCGGGTATTGATCTCCTTCCAGGAGGTCCACTTATCGACTTAGAATACGCAGATGATATAGTCCTGTTTGGTGAAGACGCTGACAAAATGCAGAGTCTTCTGGTAGCACTAAGCAACAATGCCAGAATGTTTGGGATGCGCTTCTCTCCCTCTAAATGCAAGTTGTTGCTTCAGGACTGGTTTGCGTCAACACCTGAACTAAGGATAGGGAGTGAAGTAGTCGAACGCGTTGACAACTTCACTTATCTTGGAAGTCTGATCAGCCCTAATGGGTTGGTGTCTGACGAAATCTCAGCACGGATTCGAAAAGCTCGTTTGGCTTTTGCAAACTTACGTCACCTTTGGCGGAGGCGAGATATCCGTCTATCAATAAAAGGACGAGTATACTGCGCGGCAGTCCGTTCTGTCTTACTTTACGGCAGCGAAACATGGCCTTTAAGAGTAGAAGACACCCGTAAGCTACTAGTATTTGACCACAGATGCCTTAGAAATATTGCTAGCATCTGCTGGGATCACCGGGTAAGTAATAGTGAGGTTAGACGCAGGGTATTAGGGAATGATGGTAAATCAGTTGATGAGGTTATGAATCTTCATCGACTGAGATGGTTGGGCCACGTATTACGTATGCCTGAACACCGATTACCACGACGTGCAATGCTAACCGGTGTAGGGGATGGTTGGAAGAAAGTTAGGGGCGGCCAAACCAAAACGTAGCATCAGTGCTTGAAGTCACTAACTTCTAGTCTGAGCCATGTTGGTAGATGCAGACTACTTGGTTGGGGTCCGCGTGACTTTCGTAACCAATGGTTGGATACTTGTGATGACATGGCTCAGAATCGATCACAATGGCGTCGGTGTATACACTCTTTGTCTTCCCTTAAACTAAGAGATTAAAATCATTTCATATCTTTCTTTCTACGAACTAATTCTTCCTTCCTATGCTATATCCTTATTGCAACCTTTGACCTAACCACTCCTATGAATCTGGTGTTCATCTTGTTGTGCTAATGAGGTATGGCAACCTGGACCGATGCACATATGTGCCTGGTCCTACGTTGTAGCTGACTGACTGACTGACTGAAGTTCTGCTGTCAGCTAGTTGGATGTCAATTCTAACCGTACATAAACTAATTTCAGAATAAAATCCATCTTAAGCAGATAGATTAGTTTTAACCACTGCCTGGATTCATTGACCAGTAATTGACGATGCCTTTAATATGACAATCAAATGAATAGATTTAAATGGTTTCACATCCAAGTAGTCATACGGTTAAATGTTTGAAGATTAAACACAGGCTCCTATTAACATTCTTTCTTGATCCTGTAAATAATACTAACGTTTCTTCAGATATCTAAGGGGTATCACACTCCCATCATCACGTCCGAAATACACAATAAATGGCTGTGCTCTGAACTGCAGTTGTAGCGCAATGATAGCAATTTTCCAATCATTAGCCTTTGTTTTTAAAGTAAATGCAGAAGTTAATACAGTTCATTACAGTCTGTTTCTAAGTGTTTTGGATTCTTGACCTGATATTTATGAACCACTTCTAAGTAAATTTATAACCTTAAAGTTCACAAGTTATAAGGGTCAATTCCAAAGCTTCTCTTCAACAAAGTGTAACTGCTTTAGGTAACTATCTGTATGAACGTCTTATATAGGCATTTTTAATAGTCTCAAGAATCTGATCTTCCAAAAGTTTTAGTTCCTTAATTACTGGCACAGTTATTTTAGTAACTTACTGGGTTAGCTTTATAAAGCATTGGCGGAAAACATCCTCATATCAACCACTGATTTCTAGTTTGATGTCACATAAGAGTTTGTTTGGTTTTTGTGGTTCAGTAAAATCTAGGTCAATAATAGTGTTCTTAAGCAGTTCATAGGGGCCCTGGATGTCAGTGCTGTGTTATATCTGTTCTATTCATGAGTTTGGGTACATTGCCAACAGTAGTAAACAGACATATGTAAGAATATCACGAAAGCTTACCTCCGAATAAGATAACTATTCTTTCGCTATAAGTTGCTGGAATAATATAATTTCAATTTCAAAGCTTGATAGTGAGTTAACACGGATTAGTTTTCGGGGTAGTAAAGTAAAAAAAAATTAATAGTACCACGATATACTAACATTTACCAAAGGAGTATGTAGTAGATCAAACTTGACGTCTCAAGTCACGTATATCTTTTATTTTGTAGGAACAAGATGGGAAATAACAATCATCAACTTTCATCACTTTTAGATGCTCTCAGTTCGTCACTTGTTTCACAGTTGCGCAATGTACTAAAAGCGGAAGAGGTAGACATCTTTTTGTGTTTCTTAATTTTATTTAGTAATAGTATTGTTTTTCACTGGAATTGCAACTACTTTCTGAACTTAGCAACATCCATTCTTTGTTCCATCTTGTCACTCTGCATATCCCTTTTGCAGCCTTATTCGACTTTATTCCTTTTCTGACGATTGTTTGCGTTAAGGTCCTCAGTCTTCAATCGTTAAGTTACTTTTATTCATTTCTCTTTACCTGCTAAGATTTGGATAGCCATAATGTATTGGTGATCGCTACACAGCAAATATAATTGTTTGCCTAATATTATTTTATTGATAACTATATAATTTTAACATAATGTAAAATCTTGTGTTATAAACTCCAAGCCACAAATGATATGTGATATTAATTACCTGTCTAAAACTAAGATAAGGTTAAAATCATTACCGCGATTGTTTAAAGCCGAATATTTGAAAATCAGCTCAAAACCTGCCTAGGAAGTTTTAAAAGGTGCAAAATATTTAGTTTAAGAAATTCCGCTTGATAAGTAACAGTCAAATTTGATGTATTTGTGGTTGTGGTTTAGGATTTGAATTCCAATTAATCAGAAGTTTGGCTTTTTATTTATTTTCATCTATCTGTATGTTGTCAATTTGTATACGTTATTGTACCTTGCTATTCATGAAACTTCATATAATTACCAAGTTGCTGAAATATCTGACTAAACTAGTATTGTATCTTCCTTTCGTTGTAAATTGTTTATTACGGTTTATTTAAAAGCTCACTGGATTAATCACCAGAATACATTTTACTGGTTGTTTTTCAAGTTTCCTAGGTAACAACATTAATGCATCACCTTGTGCTACAACCCTTCAGCGATCGGTATATGTTGTGTCTCAAGTTTCACGACTGTAGAAATGTATGCTAGAGCATTTTTGTCTACCATCTGAATAAAGTGTTTATTAATTGTTAGAACAATCATGAAGTATCGTTAACTATAAGTTGGTAATTTGACATAGTTACTATCTGATAATCTGTTTTATTTCTTTTCAGGCTTTCCTTAGTACTAATAGTACATTTTCTAGTAGACCACAATTTCGTAATTCATTTTGCATTGATCAAATTAGAGAAGGACTTATCGTTGGTTACTTAAACTTTCTTGTTCAATTTCTTAGTGATCTAGCTAAGGTAAATTCACTTTTCATGTTTTAATTTTTCATATTTATGAATATTACTCAGATATGTTGTGTTTCAATTCTTATCTTTTCCCACTAATCCAGGAGGAAAGATACTGTAAAACTCGGTTAAAAAGTAACTGTTGCATATACTCTATCGATCACTTATTCATTAATTTAGTTTTTGCATTATACTATTGTGTTTATTTCTGATAATATATTTTTAGTCGCTAGTAGTCAAATCTTGGATTCTCGTTTTTTCCTTACTCTTCAACGAAACGTATACCGTCATTTGTTGATATTTGCACTAAAGTAATATCAACTCTTTTCGAAAGGATACTAAAAGGCCTTAGCTTGATCTCCTTCGTCAGCTGTTACTAAAATATTGTCAACTTGAGGTCAATAGTAATATATTATCTTCAGTAATAGATTCACTTGCTCACAGAAACCATCTCATAACTAGCCAATTAATATCGAGAACAAAACACATTAGTTGGTTACGATGATCTCAATTAGTGTTAGAGGTAAATGGACCCCTATCTACTCCCTGTTCTTACCATGAAAGGATATGCAACATGTCCTTACCTTATGCTCTCTATATACGCTGAGGATTTTTATTTCTCGTTTCTTGTCTTGTTTTCTTATTCTTTTTTTAGACAGCTGTATGCAAAATTCCGGGTCCTATTTTACTAACACTTGGAAAATTATGTTTAATGTGGGCTGATTCTGGTACAGTTGGACATTTGATTTCTCTGGCCGACGATTTTATGCTTTTCGGTAATGATTATGTAATTTTGGTAATGATGATAGCGATCTCTAAAATTAAATGTTTTAAAGAAACTAAACTTCATTGGCCCCCATATGCCCTGGTACGGCCGAGAGTGCGGAGAGTCCGCTCTCCCTCTCGAAATGCTCTCACATGGTCACGTGTACATAGCCTCTGCCAGGGAAGTCCTACTCACTGCCTTCTCGTGGCGGGGGTGTTGTTTACGAGATTGAGCGGACGAAAAGTGAATGTCCGGCGCTTTAACCGGGTTGGTGGACACGGGGGTCCGCCCAGGGGAGTTGGAAAAACCCGCTTCCAAACCAATGGTGCACATGGGCTCCAGGGTCCTGAGGTAACAAATAGTGTATGAACCAACTGTTGGCTACCATGGGACTGCATCTCCTTGCGATGCTCCACTGCCTTGTGGATCAGAATTTTAGGTCGAAGGCTTCTGGTGTGGCCCCCTAGGAAAACCACCTGCTTCAGTTTGGGCACCCGAGCAGTATCACAGCCCTCACACAAATTAAATGAGATTTGTGTTTTGTATATGTATTTGGTGCCTCCTTGTACCAATATTTATGTGTTCAAATAATAATAATAAACTTAATTGGTAATGGTTATTTGGTGAATAGTTCACTCAAGTAGTTTGTAACTTCTTGCGTAATGTGAAGACAGTTTTTAACCACGAATTGACTTTGATTGGAAGCTGTAGAAGATTCCAGTGTACTGAGTAAGTGTTTCAGTTTACTCTCACAATTTTCTGTATTGTGCAGTCTCAATGGTGAAGTTCCTTAAATTTGAAATAAATCGTTAGTTGTATTCATATGTAAAATAAGTAAATGCAACGGAATATCTGCCTAAAGCTTTTACATTCTATTTTATGATATGTTACTCATGAATTAAGGATAATATACGTTTGTAAAACCTAAGTTGATGCAATGCAACGTAAATTTAGATTTGACTAAGAACTTGATTATCTGAATTGGCGAGTTATAACTCAATAGAAAGGTTAGTCTGTTCGTTCCTATTTGACATATATTTCACCTTAATCAGTCTATTAACCTAATCCTGAATAACAGTGATTATTCATTTCGTCTCGTATAGACATACTGTGCACGTAGATTCTAATTATTTTATAGTGTGATTAGTTAACTGGCTTTATTGGGTAATGGATATGTTACATATGGCTGGTAAGAGTAGAGGATATTCGTAGGTTACTAGTATTTGATCATAGGCGTCTTCGAAATATTGCTCGTATATCCTGGAACTATCGAGTAAGTAACGCAGTTGTTATTATTTATTTATTTATTTGGACACATGAATATTGGTAGAAGAGAGCGCCAATATATATGCGCCACACAAAACAATGAAAATTCGAGAGGAATACAAAGAAAGAAAAAAAAGCTAAGGAGCGCAACAAAAAAAAAGAAAGAACAATAACGAAGAGATTGGTGTAAGGTAATGTGCTAGTAATCAGAGAACGCAAAGGTACAATCGGAAGAAATCTTTCAGGTAAGGGAGACAGAACCACTTTTTATGAAGAAAGTAAAAGAAGGTTACAGCAGGATCGCCACTGGCTTCTATTCTGAGCCATATCTGATAACGTCTCTAGCCACTGTGTAGCACTATCTCTCGGACCCCAACCAGGGAGTCGTGAAGTACCGACAGAAGCCAGTCCTTTGCAGCTTTCTTTCATACCACGACACCATGTCATGCACTGACCACCTCTCCGCTTCTTCAAACCAGTCCCAGAGTCGGCAAATAATGCACGACGTGGAATTCTCTGGGACGACATTCGGAGAACATGTCCAAGCCACCGAAGTCGGTGTTTCAAGATGGTGACACCGATTGAATTATCATCTCTGTGCCCGAACACACGATGCCGAACCTCTGCATTACTGACATGGTGTTGCCACTGAATGTCAGCAATCCTTCGGAGATAGCGATGATCGAACACAGAGAGTCGTCTAACATCCTCAACTCGGAGAGACCAGGTTTCACAAGCATAGAGCAGAACTGCTCTCACCGACGCGTTGTAGATCCGACCTTTTACAGCCAGACTAACATCACGAAGGGGCCATAGATGGCCCAGATTGGCATAAGCCGCTCTGGCTTTCACTATACGTGCATTGATCTCATCACTCACACCCCCACCAGCACTTATGCAGCTACCCAGATACACGAACTTCTCGATTACGTCTATCTGCTCACCATCCAGGGTGAGTACAGGATTGGAATCCTGCCAGTCTTGTAGGAGTACTTCGCACTTCGAAGGTGCAAAGCACGTACCATACCTACGGACACTGATTGCCAACTGATTAAGTGCGGATTGCATGCCTTGGGCATTATCGCACAGTAAGACAATATCGTCCGCATACTCAAGGTCGAGAAGTCTTTCTCCAGGCAACAGATCCACACCACCATTACTTACATTCATCAGAGCTGTTTCCAGAATGTCATCGATGGCAAAGTTGAAGAGGAATGGTGAGATTGGGCAACCCTGCCCAACCCCACTACTCGAATGGAACAATGGAGAAAGGTGGTTTTATGCCCTCACTCTGCCTGAGGTGTTTGTATATAGGGCTTTTAGGATGTTAATAAACTTCTCAGGTACACCTTTCTTCAATAGACAATCCCAGAGAACAGTTCTGTCCAACGAATCGAAGGCAGTCCTGATGTCAAGAAACACTACTATTGTTGGCCTTTGATAAGTACTACGGTGTTCTAACGTTTAGTGGAGGGTGAAGATATGATCAATACATCCTCGACCAGAACGAAACGCAGCCTGCTCCTCGCGAGTCAATCTTTCTCGGGTTTTGAACAACCTACGAAGTATGACGGAAGCCAATAGCTTGGACGCAATCGGAAGTAGACTTATCCCCCGATAGTTGTTACAGGAACGACGTGAACCCTTTTTAAAGATAGGGACAACTATCGACTGATTCCATGACGTTGGTACACTCTCTAGTTCCCAAACCTTTGTAAACAACGTCGTCAATTCCTTAGTCAAAAAGTCACCACCATCTTTAAAAAGAGCCGGAGGTAAGTCATCTGGGCCAGGTGATTTGTAACGCTTCAAGAGTTGGAGTTCCTTGCGGACTTCCTCCTCATTTGGTGGATCAGTCGTCACCGGCCATGGAGGGCAGGACAGTCTGACCGATGTTGCCGGAGCAGCAGGCCCGTTGAACTGCCCTTCGAAAAATTCTGCCCACCGTCCAAGACGTCGATGGATGTTAGTGATTGGCATCCCATCATCCTCGCAGATAGTTTCACTCACACCAGACTTCTTGCTGCCAGTGGCTCGGATGAGCTGGAAGAGCTTCCGGTAATTACCAGATGCAGCTGCTGCTTCCAGCTCATTAGCACGCATCGACCACCAGGCTTCTCGGTCCTTACGCAAGCTTTGCCCAATTTCCTTACATAACATCCTTCGTTTGTGGTCAAACTCACGGTCACCCGGAGTAGACCGACGGGCTTCAATGAGTTGTAAGGAACCAGAAGAAACCCAGTGCTTAAAAGCGGGACGTTTCGCAAACCCACAACTGACTGTTCCCGCCATTTTCATGGCGTCATGCAATTGCAACCAATGCTCATCTATACTTTTCAGTGGAGTGGTAGCTAGCCTAGAGGCTAGCTCGGTTCGATACTTATTTGCAACAGAAGTTGCAACCAGCTTGCTAACATCAATCCATTGGTGGTGGTCACTTCGTTGGCCACTGAAAAGTAAGGCAAGATTGGCGCAGACCAAGGCATGGTCAGAGTCCAGATAGGTACTCCAAAACGAGCGGCAGTCTTTTACACAACCACGCCAGCGGTAGCTGGTCGCGATGTGATCAATGAGTCCAGGCTTGAGATGCAGAGAGAGGACGCCAGGTGGCACATCGGCGATGACTGTGCCGAAAGTTAGTGCTAGCCAGAAACAGGTTGTGGTCTGTGCACAGTTGCAGTAGACGGTTCCCGTTATCTGACCTGCGACCAACGAGTCCCCATCGGCCACCTAAACGACTCTCTTCTGTGCCTAGACGCCCGACCTGAGCATTCAAGTCTCCGACTAGTACTACAATATCTGTCGAACGCACTTTCTGGAGAAGAACAGATAACTGGTGGTAAAACTCATCTTTGATTGCATCCGGGCTGCAATCTGTCGGGGCATAGGCGGAGATGACGAAAAGACATCGTTTCTCACGCCGATTTCTTCCCACTTTGATGGAACTTTCTAATCTAACAGCACATAACCGACTGTTAATGGGGATCCAATCGACTAGTGCTGCCTCAGCTCTAGCGCTTAGTGCGACACCAACGCCTGCAAGACCAGACGAAGATGCCACAGGGTCCCCGGATAAGCGCACGTAAAACAAGCTTTTCGAAGTGACAGATGTAGAGCGAATTTGTAGTACTTCGCTAGAGTCTTGAATACGGGTCTCGGATAGACAACAAACATCAATATTAAGACTTTCCAAAGACATAGCCAGCCCTATCTGTTGACCAACCTGCATAAGTGTGCGAACGTTGAAGGCAGCCAGTTTTAATGGCGCACGTGGTTTCAGAAAAACTGCTTCAGTACTCATATTCGATGGTAACATACAACTTTCAACCGGACAGTGACTCGAGAACGTTTAGATACAGTCGGATTTCCACCAAAGACGAGCCGCTGTATAAGTATAAAAGAGGGTGAATAATGTGGGAAATAATAATAATAATAATAATAATAATAATAATAATAATAATAATAATAATAATAATAATAATAATAATAACGACAATAATAGTAATAATAATGACAATAATAGTAATGATAATTATTTGAATCGACTGATTGTTTTTCGGAGCGATAAAAGTAGTTGCCAAAGACATAGAGTTCATCGTTTGTGTGTGGGCTGTGATACTGCCCGGGTGCCCAAACCGAAGCAGGTGGTTTTCTTAGGGGGCCACTCCCCGAGCCTTTGACCTAAAGGTCTAACCCACAAGGCAGTGGAGCATCGTAAGGAGATGCAATCCCATGGTAGCCGGTGACCAAAGATTGGTTCATACGCCATTTGTTCCCGCAGGATACTGGAGCCCATGTGCACCATTGGTTTGTGATCCGGTTAAAGCGCCGGACATTCGCTTTTCGTCCTCTCATTTTCGTAAACAACACCCCCGCCACGAGAAGGCAATCAGTAGGACTTCCCTGACATAGGCTGTATACGCGCGGCCGTGTGAGAGTATTTCGAGAGGGAGAGCGGACTCACCCCACTCTCGGCCGTACCAGGGCATTCGGGGGCAACGCAGTTGTTAGGAAACGGGTACTAGGTAAGGATGGCAAATCAATTGATGACGTAGTGAAACTTCATCAGTTGACATGGCTGGGACACGTGTTACGTATGCCCAACGACCGACTGCCTCGACGTGCGATGTTTTGTTGTATAGGAGTAGGTTGGAAGAAAGCTAGGGGCGGCGAGACCAAAACATGGTACAAGTCCATGAAGTCACTGACAAGTAGATTGAGTCATATTGGTAGATGTAGACTACCTGGTTGGGGACCGCGAAATGATAGCAACCGATGGTTAGAGATCCTGAATGACATGGCTCAAAATCGTTTGCAATGTTGCAGGTGCATCCCCTCTTTGTGTTCTCCCAAATTTTGATCTCCTTATTCCTCCTTGTCTCTTTTTTCTCTTCTCAAATTTATTTCACTGTATTATACTCTTTAAATAACATCTCCAAACACTAATCTTCTCGATTACTGCTTATACTCTTATTACCTCTACCACTACGGGATTTGGATCGACCACTGCATCTCTGTGCTAATGTGGTGTGGCAACTCGAACTGATGTACGTACGCACGAAGTTCTACGTTGTTACTGACTGACTGACTGGATATGTTACATCAAATAACAATCTCATTGATCTAGGATCTGTGAATCCTCCAGATTGTCGACCGAATTTCCCACAGTATGATCGATTTCTTATGATAATGATACGTTTCCATTACCAAATGCCATATGATTACGGTCAGTTTATTTGCTTGTTGGTTGTCACTTTTTTTTCAGGCTCACAAACAAAAGAATCAAAAAAGGAAGATTTTAATACAGAGAATGGTAACAGATCACTCACTACTCCAAAAGATGTATCAAATCGTTTCAGGTCTACTGGTAACGAGCTTCTAGTTGCTTTTGTTCGCTTAGAAGGTACAAATTTGGCACAACTACTTCGAAAGAGTGTTGAAGCAAGGGATTGGCTGAAAAATTTGGAACCACGTACAGTTCGTTCTGCAGTTAAAAGAGTGATAGAAGATTTAGCATCACTAGATCAACAAGTACGTTAAATATTATTAATATTTAACACTAAATCTATTGTGATCATCCATTTTCATTTTACTTCACAACTTATTTATCGTTTATGCTTACATTATCTGCGTTTTTTCTAACTGTTGACTTGGGTTTTATTTGTTCATCAGTGTTTTTGGTGCCTGTTTTCATCTCAATTCCAAGTCAAGTTCATATACTAATTTTTATATGTGTTCATGTTTAGGTCAGCCAGCTGTTTTCATCAAATACTCGTAATCGTGATCGTATTTCTGATTCACGTTCCAGTCGTAGTCTACGACCTAGCACTTCATCACATCTTATAGACGCTACACGAACTGGAAGTTCAAGTCAAGGATTTCATTCTCCTGACTTAGATCCAACTCTAGCTACTCATTTACGCCGTTTATTTACGCAAAGAGTTGATATTTTTACTGCAGTTGACGCGAATCGGGAATCACTACTTTTGGGTGTCATCAAAATAGGTTTAAAGGTTAGCCAAGTTTTCAGTTTCAGTTGTTGCACTGCATATTTATTGTATGTTGTAACCAAGTATTATCACTTCGTAAGATTCGAAAAAGTTGTCAATAAGGTGAGTAAGAAATAGTGAATTCCACTATCCGTTTTCTTTCGACAGGGCTTTACATAAAGTTTTATAGTGAAATTTAGAATAGTTTAATAGTTAAACTACAATTCAACAAATATAATCCATTTTTCCTGGAAACATCGCTGTAATCTAGTCAACTTTTCACATCTCTGATTAGTAAATGTTTTGTATCAATTCACTGGATGAAAGTTGGTAAATGCTTGTGTACTCATCAACTTAATACGGATTAACTCAATCGATAATCGGTATTTATTTTCATCTCTTTATGTGACAATCATTTTCTTGTCATAGCTTGTTTTGTTCAACTGTATGTTATGAAGTAAACCCTCCAAAAATTAGTAACTAAGTAGTAGTTGGTCTGTGAATATTAATTTGAAATTTGAATCTTATGTAACTTTGAATAGTTTCGTATTTCACCGTTAAGCACTGGGTTTTTTTGTTTTACCACTACGAAGCTCATTTTGTTATTAGTTATCAACAAGTCATTACCTAAGTATTTCCAGAGACATTGTCGATTTCGTTGCTTTTTACTTCTCTAAACTCTCAATCACCAATATCTACATTTTGTGATAGTTATGTGCAAAATCAATCCATCAATTTATTGATTGTTTAACTGAGTTGTGTGAGCAGGTTCAGGTTATTAGGTTGGGGAGGGATGAAGTGGCCCAGGATCAAAATGGGGCAACCTATAACCGTGTTGTTGAAAGGAGATGATCTTACCAGTCTCTTCATTCTCGTTCATACCGGGTGTGTTTTCTTTTCGGCGTCGGCGTTTACATCCTCCATCAAAATAGATGAGTTTTCCTGATCATTTCTGTAAGTCTCTCATAAAGCTGATCTTTATCTTCGCCATGGGTTTCTCACCCCATAAGTGCTTCTCATGTTTATTAGGACGGTATCAGTGGAACTCCTTGTGTGTGGAGCGTTTTCTATTTCATGACCACCATACCATAACAGCTCTTCTGAAGTTAGTCTTTTTTCATTCAGATTGTATTCATTGCTTTTCACTTACTCTAAGCATGAATAGTTTGGAAGGAAATTTGAATGACCCTCCCGGTTTCCCACATTGTGTGGGCATCCCATGTACTCATACTATTTGTTTCTCTTTGCTGTTTCAAGCATAGATCATTGACAAATTTTCTAATGTTAGACTAAGTGATTGAAGGTTCGGATGTCAGTTTTTTATGGATCTAACTTGTTAAATGGCAAAGTGTATGAATTGTTCATTCAGCTTCCACAACCACTAGCTCTTTGAAACCTTTTATATTGTTCCACTGAGCTATATTGTTTTATTGGATCATTGAAACTAACTTACCGCTTCTCAACTAATTTGCTGGTAAACAATGGTACGTCAAAAATACTTCGCTTTTTAATTCATTTACTTGTTTAATTTGGAATGATCTAGACTTTGATAGAGTGTTCACGTTTACAAACATTTGGTCGTTACGGTCTACAACAAATACAAGTTGATTGCCGATATTTACAAATTCATTTGTGGCATTTCGTAAATGATGAAAAGTAGGTCAAATTTTTTTGGACTGATTGATTAATAGAATTATTTTCTTCTCATAGTAAGTCCAAGGTTCTTTGATATTTAAACGAACATCGATCATGTTTGTATAACGTTATCGACAAATAATTTTATAATTCATGAGGATTTCAAGTAGTTTGGATGTAAGTAACGCAGGCATTTCTAGATTAGCAGAACTGAATATATGTGTGCTAGCACTAAATAGTACACTCTCCTTACGTGACCTGCGAAATTCTGATGTAATATGAACCATGAATGTTCTGATTCTGACCAAGTTATTGATTTGACGTGTTCTGGAACTTTTTGATGCACACTGATACTATTAACACTTGTTTACTATGTCTTTGAACGTCCATTTCCGGCCATTTTGCGTAATTGCGTGCAAGTGATTTCATTCTGGTTATTCCTGGATGTTAAGTATGAAATTGTTTAAATACTCTCTTCTGTGATGCCTGTGGTATCACCACACATTTTCCAAACATAAGGCAGTTTCTAACTGTACATAGAGATTGCCGTTGTTGAAATAGGTGTTTTCGTTTTTCATCTAAAGACAATAGCCATTTATTTTGAAGGTAATGAATCGCTTGTTGAAGGGTCGAGTCTTGTGACATCTGTTACTTGGCAAGCTGCTATGCGGAGGGGTTATCACTACATCCATGAAACGTTTGTGCAATCAGCGACACAATCGTCGTTAGTAATAGGGTAATTACTTATTAAGCGTGATATAGTGTCCGCTCGACAAAAATCTTCTGCCCTATAGTACTGAATATCAAAGTGATCTCCTAGCAAAGTCATCTCCCACCTCTGCAGTTGGTTTGCCGAATGCGCTGATATTTCGAACCCCGAGCCAAAAACAGTTAGTAAGGGCTTGTGAGTCAGTCAACAACGTGAAGCATCTTCCATACAGCATTTTGTGAAAAACAACCGCTAACGCTTTTTTTCGATCTGTTTGTAGCATTTCTCTGCTAATGTTAGTGATCTGTTGCGTGCATTACTACTTTTTCCACTCCATTTGGAAATTTGTGTGAAATTACTGCCCCCCACACCATATGCAGACGCATCTGCTGTAACCATTAATGGCATTGTAGGATCGTAATGGGTTAGTAGACGGTGGGATCTAAATAGTGCTTCAATTATTTGAAAGATAGTTGACACTGCTTTGTACATTCCCGCTTAGTATTCCTTTCAAGTGGATGATTAAGTGGTCTTTGCTTTCCATGCAGGGGTGGAAATAATGCGGAGTAATAACTGACGAGTCCGAAGAACGAACATAGAGTCGGTAGATTGTGTGGAACAAGTATGTTCTTCATAACGAATATGGAAATGATAGGCCAGAGAGGAAGTCTTTTTTGAAGGGGCTGTTGAAAGAGAAAGATGGATACGCCACCAGAACCAGATACGTAGAAGACTCATCAGAAGGAACCAAAACAGCTTTTGAAACTATCATTGACATTTCTAAAGTTTCAAAAGAAATACCAAGAACGATACAAGGCTGAACAGAAGTACTATCACAGGAATCTACAGAAAAGTGATTACCGCGGAGAATTAAATAACTACGAACGAAGACCGTCAAATTTAGAAGCAGTGAAGGAATCCCCAAAACGGAGAGGTGTTAAAGAGGTCATAAGAATAGTCAGATTTTATTAGAAACGCTAAAACTTCATCTGGAACGATAACCTCTCTCACATTTTCTGCCAATTCGATCCCTCATGACCTTTGCCCACTGATCAATTACAGTCCTAAACATCAGTAGAACGGTTCAAACAAACAATACTAAATGAAATTAAAATTTATTGTTAATTAGATCATTCTGTCTTTGTTTTATTAACTGAGAACTGAAAAATGAACTGTCATTGCTCGTAATAGATCATATGAGTGTACATTTTTGGTTTTGATTAGTGTATATAATATCAGTTCTGTTTTGATGCTTGAGGTCACACTGCATATTAAGAATAATGCATTTCTTTTCTCCAGGCTCATTTGTATGTTACTAGAAGATGTGATCTACAGTGTTGTTCAGCGTTGCGTTGATCCATGTTTCATGGAAGAGAGTGTAAGTTTCAGTTTATTTTTTAAAAGTGACTTTTAAGATATATTACTCTAAAGAAGGTATTCAGTAATATATATGCTACAAATGTTCTGTAAACATATCCGCTTTCTCTGTCTAACTTCGCTAACAAAACCTCATGCATTTCTCAAAACCTATATCACTGCAAACATATTTTAACTACCTGTTCTAATTGGTGCTCGAATGATTGACTCCAAATGGTAGAACATTGTTTGTCTAGTTGGTAGAAGAGTGGTACAGTTGGATGAATACTGTTGGCTTTGAGTAAAACCGAACGTTTTTCACTTTGTACGATTTTATTATTTTACATTATTGGAATGAGTTTGCGAAGTGGTATGCATTCCCTCGCCAATATAACTGAGGTTGTCGATTTATTTTTAATACATTTAACCGTCTATATTCGTTTTAGTATAGACCCTAGTTTACTCTTTAGTTTTTGATGTACCAGATACAGTATCAAACCATTCTACTTTATTTGAACTAGAAGGAGCAGTGACCTGGTGGTCAAAATATTTGGCTTATAAACACTAGGTCGTAGCTTTAGACCCACTTTATCGACTTCGGTTTGAGCAGTGTGGCAATAGGTCACTAATCCTCATACCTAAAGTTTGGTTCAAGGCTCTGTACATCAATTTGTAATTGTTATGTGTACTAATAATTTTTACAAATATGAACTATTTTCATCATATGGAATATAGATAGTGGTTATTATTTTTATTGTCCGACAAAGTTAATCATCTTATTCAGTGGGGTCTGTATCATCAATGTAGGATGTTGAGGATAATGTCCTGAATTAAAAAGATACTCTTGTGGTCGTTAAATTTACAGGTCTTCTCGGAATATTTATATTTGGTTAATATATGAATAGTAAGTGGTCATACAGTGTATATTAATTAGCAGAGGTTAAAAAATCAGATACAAGGTGCTAAGCTTAGTAACAACAATCAACTTTCAGCACAGACAAACTAAAAATGACCAGGTCAATTTGACTGAGTGCTGTTTGGGATTAACGGATGAAATCCAATAAGCGAATTCTAGGATCAAAATTTAGTTACTCATGAGTAATACATTTACAATAAAAGAATTTCACGACGATGCTTCGCCTAATCGTACTGAGTATGCAATCAATGACACTTAATCGTTCAACGTCCAGCGCATGTTACTACTCGTGGAGGAGCATCAGCCGACCATCAGCACTCTCCACTCAACCCTGCCCTGGGCAATCCTTTCCAGCTCTTTCCAGTTGCTATTCACTCTTTTTATATCTGCTATTTCAGGACATAATGTGTTCTTTGGTCTTCCACTTTTCCTTTTCACCTCAGGATTCCAAGTTAGGGCTTGCCTCGTGATGCAGTTTGGTGATTTCTGTAGTGTATGTCCTATCCACTTCCATCGTCTTCCCGTGATTTTCTCTTCAGCTGGAAGCTTGTTTGTTCTCTCCCACAGTAGGCTGTTGCTGATGGTATCCAGCCAATGGATGCTGAGTATCTTGCGTAGACAATTGTTTATAATTACTTGTATATTTATGATGATGGTTTTAGTAGTTCTCCACGTTTCAGTTCTGTACAGTAGAACTACCTTTATGTTCGTATTGAAGATTCTGATTTTGATGTTAGTTGACAGCTGTTTTGAATTCCATATGTTCTTCAATTGTAGTAATGAGGTCCTTGATTTGCCAATCCTCGCCTTTACGTCTGCATCTGATCCTCCTTGTTCATCGATGATGTTTCCCAGGAGCGTGAGGGATTCCACCTCCTCCAGAGTTTTGCCATCAAATGTGATTGGGTTGGTGTTCTCTGCGTTGTATTTGAGGATCTTGCTTTTTCCTTTGTATATGTAGAGGCCTACTGATGCAGACGCTGCTGCTACACTGGTTATCTTCATCTTCATTTGTTCGTGTGTATGGGATAGAAGGGCTAGATGATCTGTGAAGTTCAAATCGATTGTATTCCGTGCTTTCCGTTTCTTTAGCTTCAGTTTCATCTTTGCCATCCCCAGGTGGTGATCTGAAGCTATATCAGCTCCTCTCTTGGTTCTCACATCTTCCATTGTCCTTCGGAATTTTCTATTGACACAAATATGATCTGTCTGGCTCTCTGTGGTGTGGTCCAGTGAGATCCATGCAGCATTGTGAATGCGTTTAAGTGGGAATATTGTGCCACCTATAACCAATTTGTTGAATGCACGTAGGTTTGCAAATCTCTCCCCAATCTCGTTTCTCTCTCCTTGTCCATATCGTCCCATGATATCTTCATATCCGATGTTGTTTATTCCGACTTTGGCATTTAGATCTCCCATCAGAATGGTGAGGCCTTTTCTTGGGAACTTCTCTATGATTGACTGCAGCCTCTCGTAGAACTGATCTTTATCGTTTTTGTTGCTATCGTTGGTGGGTGCATAACATTGGACAATATTCATTGTAATTCCATCCTTCTCTGTTTTGAATGATGATTTGATGATTCTGGATCCGTGAGATTTCCATCCTACAAGTGCATTTCGTGCTACTTTGTAGAGTATTAGAGCAACTGTCTGAGTGTGTGGAGCGTTTTCCTCTTCGTAATCGGAGTATAGCAGCATCTCTCCCGTGTCTATCCTTTGTTGTGCAGCTTGGGTCCCGTTGGTTTCGCTGATTCCCAGTACTGCCAAGTTGTATCTCCTCAGTTCTGTTGCTATTTGACTGATCTTCCCGGTCTTCCTTTATTGTTCGGACGTTTCATGTACCTATAAAAATTGTTGTTCTGGTTGTTAGAAGGGGCATCGATCTCGGCTCTCATCCTGAGGCGTCATGATTCTTCCTTCAACTCCCAGGGCAGAGTTTAAACGGTTTAATTTGTTGAATCTGGTTGACATTTTTTAGCAAGATTTTTTCTACAGGTTGGGGTTGCCGACCTCATGCCCAACCCTCCTCATTTTCCCGGGATCGGCGTCGGCAGAATGACACTTAATAGCTTAGTAATTATCTCCCATCATCTGTTAATTTACTCTTAATATCAGATTTTCAGTGTGTTTATAATGAAACAATCTATTTATTATGAATATTTTAAAATTTCCATCAGGGTAAGTCAGGTTTTTTTCATGTACTTAATGTTAATCTCTCCTGTGCTTTTGCTCTTGTTTTAGGTTGTCGAAGCGATTTGTGATCGAGCATAAAGTTACTTAATTATTGCTTAATTCTTGATAATAACCGTTTTGTTCTCTCGAGTTGAAGAAGAAAATAATCAGTGCGTAACTTCTTTTTTTTTTGGTGGTATTCTTTCATCAATGATTGTGGGATATTTTCATCCGTTTATTATTATTATTATTATTATTATTATTATTATTATTATTATTATTCTCACCATTATTGAATAATGATCCGTTTTTCTTTGGTGTAGGAAAAAGTTAAATTTTAAAATTCTAATTGTAAATTATTTGTCATATCGAAATGTTACAAATTATTATTTTTGTACTGAGAATTGTTTAGCTGTGCTTTCCGATACTTCGATGTGATGCTTTTTGTTTTATAAATGTTCACTATCTAACTTAATGTTTGATGTTAGTTTGAATTTTCGTACATATTTACTAGTTTTGTTGTTGTTGATACAATAAACCTTTATGGTCTCACTTTTTTAGTCACTTTTTTGTTTGAGGTTTTCTTTGAACGGCGATTTCTTCGCGAACTTGCTTAAGTATGGTAAGAATATTCGAGTAATTGACATTCAGGTTAAACATATAGATAGTAAATCTGTACCAACTTACACTAAATACACCATGCTCCCAGGAGTTGGACGGGACAGTGATTAAGTCAGTTTGTAATGCCTACCACCAATGAAATCCATGACAGTTTAATTCTAGTAGATTAGCCTGAGGTACATTGGCAAACATCCTTCTAGACTGAAATAAACTAGTCTCAGAAAAGAATATAAAATTGTTACAGATCATTATATTCTCAGGGTATTTTATCAAGATGACACGAAGGTAACAGTTAGATTATTATATGTCTATTATTAATCTTTTTTAACTTGAAAATGCTTGAACCACAAACCAACAAAACCGAGATGCGTTGCCAGAAAATGAACACGCATGCCAATTATTAAATCAAAAATCATGACTTATAAGTATCTCACTTTTCATATTACTATCATGACAATAAGGCAAACCATACTATTAGCAGTTCGCCTCTGTAAACGTTTATGTAATATAAAATAATACAGATACAACAGAGCAGTAGTAGTTATATTTTCAATTTTGTTAGAGGAAAGTATTTGTGGAAATAAATATCTGGTCGCTCGGTTAAAGTCTGGTTTATTCTTGCCAATTTTCGTAAAGAAATGCGCTGAATTCAGAGAAGTCAATCATTTGATCACAATTCTTATCAACACTTTGCATCCAACGATTTAAAGCGTCCTCAGATACACGACGATATCCTAGTTCCCGTAAAACGTTTCTGATTTCATCTAGTGATAATTGTCCTGATCTATCTTGGTCGACTTCATTAAAGGTTCTCCTCCATTGTTCAACACTAAATATTCATAATGTTAAGAATTAGTTTTAAACATTGCATAATTGGAATAAATCATTCAGATTCTTTCGAATATCAATTTGCGCAACATTTATGAAAGTACTAGATATTCTTGTACTATTGATCGGAATAACCAAAACCAATTGTTATTTAAATCCTTTGAAGGATTATACGATAACAATATTCAGGTCTGCCCGCTGATTACATGAAAACTTCCAGCAGTCAATAAACACTGATGTTAAACTGACTGCTTCATGTTTTTCTACAGCACTGGTTTTTCAAAACTAAGGATTACTTATATACGGTTCTGTTACTTTTGTGTCGTACATCTGTTAATACATGCAATTCGGTAACCATTCATTGGTTCACCTACCGATGTTAATTATTCTACCTAATCATTGGAGTAGTTAAAATAATGAGTTTACTTTAAATTTGTGGTCTCTAGAACTGGAGTGGCCTGCTTAAAAGTACGAATCTATTTCGATCATCCAAGAAGTGGATTAATTTTAATCTATCGCTATTCAATTAGAAGTAATCTTACAAATATTGTGATTACATGTAATAAAACTAGGTATAATGTTTTAAGTGGGATGCTTGCAAATTCTAAACAACTGCTAATCACTAAGCAAGGTGCTAAAAATTATTTCTGTGCTAAATGTTTCTTGTTCTTCCCTCAAGGTAACTACAGTGAAGAAAATCATAGGAAATGTCTCCTAAAATTATTAGAATGAAATGTTACTAAATGGAACATTTAATGTCAAAAATTGGTATTATTTAAATTAGAATAATCAATAGATTTTCTAATCTATCGTGATTTAATTTGTTCTTGTTTTAATGTAACATTCCAGTAAACTAGATCAATGTAGACTATGAAGTTGTGATGTCTATTACTTACTCTCTGATAATGAATAAACCTCAGTGACAGATGTTCTCATGTAAAATTATCTGATGAGATCAATAATAAAGCATTAAAAACCTGCAAACCGTGGACAGCCGTTTCGTTCTAATACAGCACTCTTCAGCGGCGCACGCCGTTTTGAAAGCAGTACCTCCGATCTCAAGCAAACGCTGAACTTCTACACTAATGATTCTACACCTAACGGTGTTAATGTCTGACTTCAACTAATCCACGATGCTTCGCAACCATCTATTGTCTTCAGCGGGTAACTGCTTCACACCCGACACGGTTGAACTCCACTGGCCTCGGCTTCTCACTGGGACTTCGAGAATCCCCTCTCAAAACAGCCGTCCAGTGCTTCCAAATTTTCATGATCTCAATAAAACCCAACAGTCACCACAACCCTATACTGGTAAGATTATAGGTTAGAAGAAAATGAATATCATGTTCTGTACAAAAATGTGACATGATTTGTGAAAATATCTAGACTCTGTTTCAAACCATATTATGTATAAATACTAGTAAATATTAGCTCTACAACAATATTTTGAAATGTTTCACCAATGCGTAAGTATTTTTTTTAGTCTCAATATTCCCTGAAACAAATTCAACGAAACACCGATATTGCGAGGAAACATAATGTTTAAAATTGGTCCAATGATTCAACTGGGGTTGTTATTAATATGTCGTTAATTCAACAACACAATAACATTTTTCATATCATCACTTACGAGCTAACGAAAAAAACTTGCCCTTAATAGATATTGTTACTCAAAATTGTCTCTTACTAGTTACTATCACGGTAACGAGTTGACCGACGCATGATGTTATCAATATTTCTTTATTCTTTGCATAATTCATGATCATATGGATAGCTAAATCATGTTATTTATTGAGTGACTAGTCACTGAATACTTGCATTCATTATGATTAGCTACCCGAATGGTTGCCCGTTAAAAAAACTAAAATGCTATTTATGTAGTAATCCTAGGGATTAAAAAAGAACTTTTAAAGTTTGTGTGGTTTTTTATTAGTACAAAAATAATAAAATAATGCAATAAAAATTCACTTTCAGTATTTGAGAGGTTGGTTATATGTATTTGTTTTTATGGCGATAACAATTAGGTGGTAATAAAGTATTAAATTAATTCCTGTCTGGATTTTAAATTCTTACATATAGATGGATATTTCATTTATATAAAATTATAATTACTTTGTGTAAATGTCATAAAAGATCAGTAAGTTAGTAGTTAGAAACTTTAATCTGAATTTAAATGTCTCTACAGTGTAACTATGATTAGGAGTATTTCTTAAGAAAATTAGCTTGACTAATTCAATAGAAACAATGGGTGAAAGTTAAATAAATAGGGATTTATTAGAAATAGATTTTATCAAAATAATTTTAGCTGAAGTTAGACACCGTTGGATGCCGGCTCAATGGTTTAGAGGTTAGGCGTTTGCGCTCGAGACTGATAAGATGCGGGTTCGAATCCTCCCAGGCTGGGCGGTGCATGCACACTGCTGAAGAGTCCCACAATAGGATGAAACGGCCGTTCAGTGCTTCCAGGTTTTCCATGCTGGTCTAGCTTCAACTGACTCATGATCTCAACTATTGAAATTTTAATATATACTACGGATATTAGCCGTCATATCGAAACGTTTGTGATCGCATTATCTTACATGTCGTGTAAGAGCGTGGAAGTCCTAATAATCAAACGATATGTCACTTACAATAGATCGTTAAGGGGACTGAAATTGCTTTTCAATCAGGAATAATGTACTGATTTTTAATAAACATTCACAGAAAATATTTAACCCTTGGCAATGTAAGAAATTTACAAATACAGCTATTAATGTTTATGTATTTGAAACTGGAAATGAAAGCGATCAAATGTAACAGAAAATATTTAGTTTAAAACGACTTCCAGTATATATTAAGTAACGGGTGAAAGAATAAATAGGAGTAATCATTTTGGGTAGTAACACATATTGAGGAATACAATTGAACTCTGTTGCTGACACTTAAAATCACGAATTAACGCTATTCAGTTATTGTCAATTTTTCATGACAATTGTAGAATGCATGTTAACTATACTTTCAAAAATTAATTAACTTTAAATGAATCTGGGTTATGGGATTTATTTATATTTATTATTGAAAATTGCATTTTGTAACATCTACTACTAATAATTATTCAATGGTTATCTATTTTATTTTTTTGTTTTTTCTCCTAGTTAAACTTTTTAATCTTTACATACTATTCATGAACTTTCGGTAATATATTTTTAAATATGGCCTGTTAGTTACTCTTGAATTTACCAAGTTTACATTTGTGTAAATAGCGTTACATTAAAAATAGTAATATTTGAATAAATAATCTTCAACAGATACACCGGTATATATATATATATATATATATATATATATATATGAGCTGGATGGTAGAATTTTGTGCTGATGACGTCATTCAGAAGAACGATGAAAGCTCCACGACAAAACCATCTAGCTCAGAGAACGAAATTCTATCAAAATCATCCATCTGAGTTACAAATCCCCACCATTTCAATATATATATTATGAAATTACTTGATTTTCGAATAATTCATTTTTATTTAATTTAGCTTTGCAAATTTTTTGCATTGATAAACTCTACTAGTGAATAAACATTATTATCTAATGTTTATATAAATAAATACATTTTTAAGAAATAAATTTATTCAATAAGAAGATATTTGTAAAGTTTTGTAAACTTGCAAGTCTACGGATTGTAAAATTCTTTTTGATTTTTCAAGCATTGTACATTTATAATAACATGTAACCTACTGATAAGTTAAATTGAATATATTTATGGTTGGTAGTTTATCTTAATATCTTTACAAGTTATTATAAACCTATTGTGCAAATATTCCGATATTTTCACATACTTTCAGTTGTTTTAACTGACAAATTGATTTTAATAACTCCAATTATTTACATGTACCAATCGAAAACATTTAACCTATAGTGATGATAAATACCAAAAAAAAGCGTTTATCAATGATCCCATAATAATTAGTACAATAATATCCCAAATCTATCTTCTCTTAAATTGAAATGTAAGTATTTATAAACGTAAGGTCTAATACAAAACTTTATCTAACATAATTCACTTGGTATTGTTGTACTTAAATCTTCCCATTGATGTATAGGACTGAAATTGATCAGTCACTTATTCGCATATGTGCATACTGTGCGTATTGCCTCGATATTGTCTTAATTTACAAATACAAGCAAGTGGCTGTCAGAACTCAACAACTAAGCGGATGACGCGATGGCGTTTGAAGCGAACGGTACTGGGTTCCAGTCCCAGAGTGAACATGAAATTTGAGATACAGGCACATCCAGCTGACGAGTTCCAAACAAGACGAAACGCGCGTCCTGGATTCCACTGTTAGTCACTATCCATCTTTGCTTATAATTTAACTAACATATATATACATATATATAAATGTAAGTAGAATCAAATTTCATAGTTAACATACGGCAATAAATGTAAAAGATATTTGATAAATTATCTAAATTAATATCGCTTATTTTAATAAAAAATATGTGAAGATTTACTTACTTACGCCTGTTACTCCCAATGGAGCATAGGCCGCCGACCAGCATTCCTCAACACACTCTGTCTCGGGCCTTCTTTTCTAGTCCCATACAATTGTTATTCATTCTTCTCATATCTGTCTTCATTTCTCGGCCTATTTTCTCCTTCATCATTGAGGATTCCATGTGAGCACTTGGCTTGTGACGCACTTCGGTGACTTCCTCAATGTGTGTCCTATCCACTTCCACCACTTCTTGATTTCTTTATCCTCTGGAATCTGTTTAGTACTCTCCCACAGTAGGTTGTTGCTGATAATGTCTGGCCGACGTATCCGAATTATTTTGCGTAGACATCTGTTAGTGAAGACTTGTATCTTCTGGATGATGGCTTTCGTAGTTCTCCAGGTTTCCGCCCCATCCTGTATAACTGTTTTCACATTTGTATTGAAAATTTTGACTTTGATGTTGGGTGACAGGTGTTTTGAATTTCAGATGATCTTCAGTTGTAGATGTGCTGCTTTT